ACCCAGCAGTGCAAGGGTGACAGATGCTCCAAGCCACAGTGCTGAAGTAAGCTTCTATGCTTGCACAGTGTGATGCAGAGGCCCCAGAACAGGCAATCCTGAACACCAGGGTAGTTTTGCCTCTGCTGTTCCAGCCCTAAAAACTGCTAGACTCTAAGGTCTGTTATAGGTGAGCATATTTCAACACACTTTTCTTTAGGCAGTTGATTAAGAAGACCAAGTGAAAAGTCTGCTTATCCATAGACTTTTGCAACATTCTCTGTAGCAAAGGAACACCATTAAGGGTAATTCAGCCTTCCTCTCTCTGTAATAGCTATTTGAAGCCCCCAGGCGCACCATCCTAATTTCAGTGCTTTATGTAAGTGCCTAAGTCAGGTGGGATTGGTCCTGATCCGATTTGATACACCAGCAAGATTTTGTTCTGGTTTATAATGTGAAGACTTCATATATACAGTCTACATATAGAGAGCCCGCATACGTTTATATGCAGAATCATAGACTCATTTAGGTTGGAAAGGACCTTTAAACTCATCAAATCCAACCATTACACCAGGACTACCAAGTCCACCACTAAACCACGTCCCTAAGCACCAGATCTACATATCTTTTAAATACCTCCAGGGATGGTTTTTGCCACAAGGGCAATGCTCTCAATTACAAATACTGATGTGAAATGATATTATAAACAGAACCGAAGGATAGCGATTAGTAGTACAGCCATGCGCTATGGAGAAGGCAACACTTACTTCCTTGATCATACTATCATAAAATAACAGAATGGGCTGGGTTGGAAGGGATTTTGACGGTCACCCAGTTCCAACTCCCTGTTAATGGCAGAGACACCGTCCATTAGACAAGGTTGCTCAAAGCCTTATTCAACCTGGCCTCAAACACTTCCAGGAATGGGGCATCCACAGCTTCTCTGGGCAAAGCACATTGAAGCATCCCCAAGGCTCCCAGAGCAGTCAGTGAGCCTGATGCCTTGGGAGAATGGAGGCACAGGCCTCTAGTCTGTTATTTTAAAAAGCTGAACTGATGAATATTTTGGTTTCCAAAACATAGGATGTGAAAGAGCAAAGCTGAACAAAGCGCTAACATCCCTTTGTGTTGACTGCCCTATTTTAATCCCACAAACCAACCCATAGCATGCAACCAATAGCTTCGAATCTGTAAGAAAGAAAAGGACCTTGAAAAGATCTGGTTTACAGCTCTAAGCCAGTAAGATATAACAGCCAAGATCATCTTACATTATTGTGAAGTTATTTAGACGGCTAGAGCTGTTAGCCAGGCTGCAATGAAATCAGTAATGTAGAAAGTAACATAGAAAACAAGAGTTTTCCCCATTGAGAGTATGGAGTTTGTGCTGTTAGTATGCGGAGCTGGATCTAGTTCAAAAGCTGCTGCCGTCATATTGGCTTGATGATACTCACTTTGCTTCCAGACACCACAACCCTGGAAGTTTCTTTCCAACAGCCTAGCAGATGTCTTGTCTAGCACATTTAGGTACCTTCAGATAAATGAAATCTCATGCAGGATGAGCTCCACTGTGGTGCAAATACCTCTTGGACAGTCAACCAGGTCCCTCTGTGATGACCACCACTTGGGATCCTCTACAGAGATGCACACTGGGTGGACCTTTCACACTGGTGAATTCCTTTCACTTCACACAGGGCGTGACACTGCTGTACAATGATTTAAAAGCAACAATTTATATGAACTAAAATAAGTAAATAAAACTCTTCTTGCAGACACGAACGTTTCCCAGCAGGCAGAAGCGCTCTCTGTGGGTTTTCTCTTTGCAAGCACCCACTACTGAAACCAAGGCTTCAATGAATCTGTGAAATTCGGAGCATGGTTTATCTTTGCCTCTCTAACCCTTTGCATTAGGCAACCCTGCTGCTAATCAGCTCCACACCTAGCATGTACTGCAAAGCAAATATAAGTAACAAAGAAGTGGGGGGAGGCACCAGACAACAGACTGTAGGAGCCAGCAGGTGTTGAGCCCTTCCCTATCAGCAAGCTCTATCACTACCAACCCAACTGTTTCTCTCTCTCCCAAGAACTCACCTGGCTGTCAGTGCATCAATAGTGGCTAGACATGCATGCAGCAAGGAAAAAAGGAAAAGTCCCTCTTTCGGCTCTTCTTTCTTCTTTATTAAGGACTCAGAAAAATGAGCACCTTACTAAGCTTAATGTGTGACCATATATCAGCTGAGCCTAGGTGATGGCACCGAGGACACACACAGTCAATAGCAAACCCAAGATAAGGCACATCAGCTCAAGCCTCAGCGGTGGAGGTTTAAACTAATCCATTTAACCTTGAATTTGCTCTAGGTAAAGAGCATACATGCAAATGATTGTTGCGCCTCACCTTACACACGTCAAGCTGCAGCAATGCATCTGCTTAGTCTAAGCTCCTTGTTTCCACTTCTGGATGTGCAGCGTTAGCACAACAGGGCTATGACTCTCTTCTGAATCCAAATTCATCATCACAGTGTGAGAGGGAGGTCAAAACAAGGATTAAAACTGGTCCATAAGCACAGTGCAGCCTCCAGCAATGCTCACTGGGGATTGAGTGTCACAGGAACTTTCCTCAACAATGCATTTTTCAGTGCCATAGGTAATGAGATGATGAACTTAAGTCGTGAGGATACTCCAGTGGAATGATATCTACATTAGTGCTTTTCTTCTGATACAGCAAGACATTCAAAATTGAGCATAATACACTGGAGGAATTCAGATCAACAGCTTCGCAGAAGACACTCCCAAATTTTGCAGCTGATTATCCCAGAACTGCTGTATAAGCAAGCAGAAGTCTCCAATTTGTCATGCATAAGTAAGATTAAAACACACAAGCAGATGGTCATTTAATCCCCAACTCCATTCCCAAGTGGCATTACACAAAGTGAGGAACATGCCTCACTTTAAACCTCTGGTTATACTTGAAAAATCTTCAGAATTGGCTGTTTGTAAGGACAAAGTATTGTCATTCCAAATTACTGTACTAATTTGGTGTTTTCACTCAATGAAAGGAGACATCCAACTGTAAATACTGATTATTGGGCCTAGTGTTCAATTGGATTGAGTGTTAACTGAACCTGTAGATGGAAAGCACTCATGCCCAGTTCCTCAAACAACAGAACCTTGAGGAACAGAGGAACAAACCACTCTCTGTCTTCCCCCACCTCACCATTGCTTGAGGCAGCCACACAGAGTATTCTGACTTTATGATGGTAAAATCCACTATTCACCAACACTATCACTCACCCTACCAAAAGGCATTAAAAAGTAGAATAACAGCCAAAACTGCTGCAGCTATTCAAGCACTGTGAAAAATATGCACTATGCTAAAGATGTTTCTTAAAGGAAAAGTAAGAGCTTGTCTCTGATGTCCTGGTTCCCCTTACCTCAGCTCCTGCTGAAAAGCCATGGTGCTTCTCCATGTAACAGCAGGTCCTACACTAGCCAAGAGAATGCCCCTCACTGGCTTTGCACAGCAACACATCCCTTTGCAACTGGGACTGGGGAGAAGAGACAGGTTCCCCTCTCAGTTTCACATAGGCAGATAAAAGGAGGATTTACTCTTATGTGTTTACAACATAGACTGAAATTTCCATTATGCTCTGGTTTTGCTGGAGCAAGCCTACCTTGCTGCTCAAAATGGGGCTCCTGCTGTGCAGGAGCCTCCCAGAGCACAGCTGCTGTCTCAAACTTGAACCACCCCACCTTCCTTCAGAGATTTTTGTAGTTAAGCTATAACAACATGAAACATCATCCTCCTAAATCAGTTCACTCCGTCTCTAGCCTAAGGGGCAATTTACCAACTGAATCTACAGACAAAAATGTTGAAGTATTTTCTCTTCAGAAAAATACTTCTTACATTGCCCTTCTGCCTGAAGTAACAAAGACCCACATAACCACTTCAATATTGTTTCAGACCATTTAACATGTACCCAGTTCAGAATTTTACTTTCTTACCGATAAGTAAAACTGGAAAAATCATATAGTATTTAATAACACACAAAAGTTTCAGTCAATTTTTAAGAAATCTAAAGCAAGGAGATGGATTTGCAACATCCTCATGGTGTTCCCATTAGCAAATATAGAGTACTTTCCCCTATCTGCAGAAGGCAGGTCAAAATCAGTCCTGTAAGGTCCCTAAGCAACTGACTGGTAGCTGAGTCACAGGTTTGTCCTTCTCCAGACAAAAATACATCCAAAGATGGTAAATGATCAAGAAGACATAATATTTAAACCACTTATGCAATGGCTTACAAGCCTGCTTTGGTCAAAATAAGACCAGGAGTTCAAACAAGCCCAGCTCACTTGGTCTGAACAGATTAGGCAGCAATTGCATGAGCAGCTCAGACAGCAGAGCTAAGTGTGATGCCTGCAGCAGCTGGAAGACAGCTCACATAATGACATCTCCAGTGCCTACTGCATATGGAAACAATCGGGTTCCTTGTGAAACTACAGATTCACCTTCCACTCTTTCAGCATAAGACTGATGGTTGGGAAGTGTTTTAAGAGCAAGAGCCTATTTCAGACCAAAGGTTCTGGTATCAGAAACATCCAGACATTTAATTACGCCTTGGTGCTAGAGGCCCTCCATACCTAAACCCATGGGCCTAAATGCCTGACCTCCCAACTAGTACTTGATGTAGAATAGCAGGTAATTTTAAAGCTAGATGTTACATGGGGTTTGAAATAGGTGTTACTGTTCAAATCTGTACTAAGTCAGTGTTAATCCATTTGTATTAAAGCAAATCTGAAGTAGCAGTTTGAACAATTTTTTATTTTTCTGATTATATTGATTTTACATAGTACAAAATTCTCTTATTTAATCAATTTAAAAAGAAAAATAGGAGGTTCCACATGAAGCCAGCATAGCATTTTGCCTAACAGGTAATATGCCTTTATCAGATAATTTAAAGCTTGACTTTAATTTGTACTTCTGTTTCAGAGTTTGCATGTTCACATGAAGCTTTCAGACACCTGGATTCCAGTTCAGGGTTTATTTGCATACAAAAATATATTATAATGGCAAAAAGCATTAAAAGTTCTCAACTATATAAAATTACAAATATATTTTCATAAAAGCAACTTTAAATTAAAATTCAAGCTATATTTTAAAGTAAAATACACCTGTAACACTTAAGTTGTCTTATACCATCTGCTGCAGAGTCACAAAACTGATGTTGACAGTTAAATACTTGTAGAAATTTACAAAGGTTATGTTCAGAAGGTAAGTATCTTGGGTAGCAAAGTTATCAGACAAGGACAGCAGTTCTCAGTCTCAGACTGATGTCACTTATCCTTCACATACCTGAAAATACAGAACAAGAAGGATCATTAAGTTCTACATTAAATAAGACTGCATGTTGTTTACATACCAGACACCCCATTTATGTTCAGCTTGCTAGGCCTGACAGGCCAAAATTAGGCCTTTTTTAAATGAACATAAAAGCCAAAAAAAAGTCTTTCAGAAGAGAAGCCAATTAGGTTTCAGTGGTGTAGATGAAGTGAGCTCAAACATACATACATGATAGAAGTCAGGAAACTAGAATTATATTTTAAGTAGGAGAAGTGAAACTGGGATTAAGATACAAGTAAGATGACAGGGAAGTAGGAAGCTCAGAAGGGCAGCTGTCTTAAGTCCAGTGCAGATGGCCAAGGCTTCAGTGGTTACAGAGAAGGGAAAATACTTAATGAATACAAGAAACTCTCAGTTCACAGTTTATTGGAAGGGGAGGGGTTGTTCATGCTGCTATTTAGGTCTAATCGTAAAAATTTGTTGGTTTGGGTTCTGCAGTCTGGTTCCATACATAAAAAACACAGTGTCACGTCCATAACAGCACAGAACCCAGAAAGAAGCAGACTACATGGTTGGAAATAGGAGAGTGGGTTTTTTCAGTTTTATTGTTTTTCTTTAAAAATAATAATAATGAAGAATCTAGTACTGTAACTGGAAAATACATCTAGATAGTGACAGTAAGAAGTGACTTAAATTCCATTCCTGGTTGACAGGCACAAACAGGTTGTTGACATTTAATCTAAGACAATAAAAACAGATACCTGCTTATTAATTCTTTCATAAAGCTAAATCCAGTATAAACAGGTTTCCTCACCTACAGTTATTCCTCCAGTTACTTAGCTTCACAATGAAGAAAAAGCCCCACTTTTTAGCTGAGTTTTAAGTATTTAAGAAAGTGATGTTTACTTGATGTCTGTCACTGTAAAGGAGATGTGAACTACAGTTCCCTCAGAGATGGAGACAAGGGTTCACTGAAGTACAGCCTTCGTCACACAAGCTAAACTGCATGCCTTGGACATCCAGGAAAAGGCCAGAATTCAGTCTATTTTACCTTCTTATCCACTTAATGATCCATATGACTAATAAACTAAAATGAAGCCTACTTCCCTTTGCTCTCCCCCCATACACTGGGTTTTCATCATTCTTTGACAGTACCAAGTGAGATGCAGGTAATAAAAAATCTACCTACTTGCTAGTGTCCTGTCAAGATCAGCAATGAAGTCTTCCAGTTCTTTTGTGTCTCCAAGCTTTGCTGCAAAATAAGAGCCAATCCTATTTAGACATGATGTATTCCTCCAACCAAAAGAAACACTGAAACCACACAACCCTCCAAATAATTTTCAGTGGTATCAGACACACTGTAGACTATTTTGAGGGCAGTTCAATAGGGTTGATGCAATGTCCAAATGCATTCTTAGAAAACAGGAGAGAATTAAAACTAATTTTCATAGTTCTCCATTTGACAGAAACAAAGCAAAGCAATCCTTTGTTCAGTTCCCTTAAAAAGCAGAAGTTAAAGTAGAGAAAAAAAGCCACATCCTTGCTATCATGGGAGTTTTCCTTATTGCACCTATTCAAATATTGTATTCATGGTCCTAACCAAACCCCAGCCAGTTATCTCCCAGTCCTACCCAAATATATGCCTCTTAAATCATGTCAGGATCACTGGTTTGCTGTGATATCAGATCTTTTGATCTTGGTCCATACACTATATATTTGGATCAAAAAATCCACATAAACCTCAATTCCCTAGAACACCACTGGTTCCATTCAATCTTGTTCTACTCCAAGTGGCTTCCTTATCTCTATTCCAAGCTGGTTCCAACTCTATTTCTATGATTCTCATCAGGAAGAGCATCTTGACCTTTAGTGTAGCTCCTTGCCAAGTATTTCCTGCCAGTTTAACTGAACTCTTTTTTGCTACTTCTTATTAAGCATTACTTGCTATTCTTCCCTTGTATCATGCCAAGTACAAAGAAAGCATTTAACTTGTTTTTGTGACCAGTCACTGTGGAAAAGACATGAAAGCACAAAAAGCTACTTGAGCATGCACCTGAGAAGACTAGTTGTAATAACAGCACCATGTAGTACATACATATTGATTTATTGATATATCTCCTCTAGAGTTCACTTAAGTTAACCAGAATGAAACAAGCTCCTGGGCAGTTAGATCAGCTGCAAGACAGAAGCCACTTTGAAACAGCATAGCTACAAAGGAGGGATGAATTACTAATAAATGGGTTTTACCAGCAGTGAAAGGTCTGTATGGATCTAAGTAAGTGTGTTAACTTGAATGGCAGCATATGGCTTCAGAGGAGTCACCTAATGCACCCCTGCACTCAGGCTAAGTACTTCTGTATATAGATGGGACACTTAAGCTACTTAGTTGCTTCAGTAAGAAGTAACACAAGCATTAACTGAAGTGTTCTGTAAGTAGTACCATAATTTCTCATCAACCAAGAAACTGTAATTTTCTTCAGCTTGGTGTTTCAAAACCAGGAGTTGCAATCACCTGCAAAGATGTGCAGATGCAGTGTGCTAATGCAGTAATAATTGGATTTGTTACAATTAAGAAAAAGAAAGTCAAAGTACACATGTGAATCCTGGCTCACAGAAAGAAGCCTACACAGTTGAGAATTAGGAAGAAATGCCAACAATTAAAGCTTACCTTTACGTGGAGTTACTGATGGAGATGGCAAGCTTGGAGTAGAGGCAGTTGGAGAATTAAGCTTTTCGTCACTGAGGCTGAAACTATTTCTGTAGAGTGAATCTGCACCTGTAAGAAAGTTACATTATAAAGCAAAATTAAGACCTGCAATTTTACAATAGAACTCAAAACAAATGGGGCCTTTCCTATATGGGCTTCACAATCTGTAGAATTCAGATTTTCAGACTTCAAAACCAGAGGGATATGAAGGGCATTTGTTACCACACCTACAGTTAAAAAGCAAGCAGTCCTAGGTCAAATCCTCGCTCCTGGTAAGGAAAGTGTCAGCTTTCCCTGCAATCAGCATCATTTGGGCAATATTACAGAAATAGCAATTATCCCCCATCCACTAAATGAGGCCTGGTATGCCCTGCCTAATTCACAATATTCTAGGAAATTCTGGTCACCTGGTTTTAAAAGGCTATTAGAAAAGCTGAATAAAGAGCACCAGGACATGGAGAATTCCCCAGAACACAATATATTCAGTGTTGTCCTCATCCCTGAAGCAAACTCACCCATTTCTCCATATATTACTCTGCTGCTTTATGTCTTGTGTTCCACATAAATGATATAGCACCTTTTAATTTTATTTTACTCTGTGACTCTGGAGTTCATCAGCAGTACATCTATACCCAAGATGTTCTGCAGTCTTGTAGGTGACCTTTCAAAGGAAGCTTTACATGCCCTGGAAAGCAATGTGAAAGGTTCCAATACCGTTCTGATGTTCTTGGATTCTGGAAAAGGCCTTCAGTTTCAAAAGTAAGAAAAAAAAGTGACCTTTATCTTCTCTCTTTTCATAAGAGTTCTACAATGCACAGTGCATACAAAGTATTAGTCATGGCTCCACTGGAAGGAGGAACTGTCATTGTGTTAGAGACACTAAAACTACTAGTTCCTGCAGTTTTGAGCCAGTGACCTGAAAACCATAAAAGAAAGCATTGTAACACGAATATGTCAATAGCCTCATTGATGTGGCACATTTCCTAGGAAACAAATGCATGCCTCATTACATGAGGTGGTGACTACCACTGCTTTCCAATTTTGCCTCCCTGCAGCAGACACAGTATTTGTCCTTACAGCCCCAGCCTAGCAGGTGGCTACACTGCAGCATTAAGTCCATCCAAGTCAGTACTGTCACAGCCCCTTCGACACCTGTCCATTTGTGATGCCAGGAGGTGACTGCCTTCATTTAATGAAGGGTGTCTTGCTGAATTAGCAAAAAGGGCCATGAACACTGCTTGCCATGCCAAGATCTGCACATCTACACCTCTACTGAATACTGCGATGATGCCTGCAGATATCAAACACAGAGACCATCATTCTCCAGAAGACTACTCCTCTACTGTCAGTTTCCATATCTTTGGGAAGAGGAATGTGTCTCCACACCCCATCTCCTCTAGCCTGCTGTCCTTACTAGCATTAAACCACCTTCTACAGGAGTACAGGGGTACAGTGCCAAATCAGACCAAATGGCTGCATCTACTAAGCATTCAAGGCCAGGTTGGATGGGCCATAAGCACCCCGGCTCTAGTAGAAGGTGTCCCTTCCCATGGCAGAGAGGGTTGGAACTAGGTGATATTGAGGTCCTTTCCAACCCTAACTATTCTATGATTCTATGTTTCCCTGTTTCTTCTGTGCTAGCTTCCAAGCCTACCTTTGTTGTAATACACACTGAAAAGGCTTGTGACAAGCTTCAACCTTCAACCTTTTTCTTCTTCTACATGTATGTTAGCCCACCACAGTACTGTATCTTCCACAGTTCACTCTTCAAGCAGTTCCTGCACATGCTACCTACAGAACTACAAACACAAGCAAATGGCAAGACTGACATCTATTACCTGGGACTATTGTTTGTCCAAATCAGCCACCAGTCAGTATTTCTTGTTTAGAAAGAGGGATATGCTGCTTCTTGCTAGCTTTTCATTTTAATTTATCTTCACTTTTAAGTGCCTGTTCTCCTCTGAACCTGAGCAGGTCAAAGCCAATCTACTTGAAACTTCAGATATGAGAAAGATTTGATTAATACAATGCAGAATTTAGATAATTTTAGACAGAAAATGGGAAAAATAGCATTTTTTAAAAAAAAGCAGCTCCTAAAATAATAAAAAGCAAACTAAGGGCAGAAGTGCAGACGAGAGGGGTGTAAATCTGACACTGCTCTGCAATTATGTGCGTCCCTGATGTTGTACCCCACACTATGAACCCTGCACATTAATGGTTTGAAAGTAACAGTTAGAGGTATGACAAATTTCCTCCTGAAATCAGCTTACAGACCAACTTTCTACTAAATCCACATTTCTTTTCAGCCAAGATGCAAACCCCAGTGACCAAGAAACTCTGAATGGAAAATTCTTGCTGTTTGGAACAAAACCCCTAGCACCACAAAAAAGCCAAATAACTCATACAAGCAGTGCTGTAGCCAAGAGCACAACTCACTGAAACACTGACGGAACAGACTATAGATAAGACATTTTCTAGGCAATGGATCTGAGAAGAGCAGAACAAAAGCTTCCAAATTATTTAATATTTTTACAGCCTTTCAAGCTCATTGAATTAAGAAAAAAATAAGCCAGAGAACAATGGCTACAAAACTGAGTGTACTTTAACAGGGAGTCTATGCTACTAGTATCCAGACACCAAACGTAGTGATGCTGGGAATCTGTATTAGAAACCAATCCTTGTTATACACCAAATCTAAAGCTCCAGTTGCTCTTATATATAGCTGGAATAAAATGTTCTTTTTGTGAATGCTTGTGAGGGCAACTCAAATTACGAAAGCTTTAATAAGCCATTTAAATTATCTGCAAACTATTCATGCAATTATTTTTATATCCATGCACAAATACATCCAAGCTAGTAGCCACCTTTGATTCTTCCCCATATTCCTTCTCTAAGCAGTTGAAAGTATTGACAGCTCACCTCAAAATGTATTTAAACCAGAAAATGTTATTTCATACTGGCTTCCCCAAACCTTACGCTGGTAAATATTTACAACTGGTGAAAAAGAAAATAAGACAGAATTGTTGCTTTAAAATAACTGAATGTTTTTCTTCCAGTCTCAAAAGATGAAATGTTTTCACAAACCAGTGTTATCTCCTGATGGGTTGTAAGATTAATAGTTTCAGGAAAATATCAACATTTATCTTTCTCTAAAAGCAAAACCAAACTCTACCTACTGGTTGTGGCTTACAAATGTCACCATGCAGCAGCAATTCTGGTGACAGAAGGAGGAATGCATTGACTCTGCAATCAAGGTCATTATAACAAATGCTGAAAACAATGCACTCTTAAAAAGAAATAGTTGTGATATCTGTCACATAAAAATACTCGCTTTGGCAAAGTGTGTCTGTAGGGCAGAAAGCTCTGGGAAAAAGACACTTCTAGTCCTTGCTTTCTACTAGCTGCCACAGCCAAGATTTGCCCATTCACCTCCAATAATGGCCCTTGGAAGAATTCCACTGCCATACAAACGCAACATCCTCTGCAACCCAATAACCAGAGGCTGATGCCAAGGATCTCTCATTGCTGCTGTCTTTCCTCATCCAGCCCCTTCTCTCCCACTGAGATGCAAATTCATTTATCATTCATTCCTTATTTTTCACTTTGTGTATTGATTCTACTGCCTGTGTGTATATATATATATATATATATATATATATATATATATATATTATGCCCCTTTGGCTGTTTAAAAAAAAGAATCAACCCAAAACACTCGTCTTTTTTAAATCAAGTCTTTAAAATCTGAGAGTTAAGCTGCTGATTTACATGAGTCAAACTAAACCAACAACTGCAAAATTAGGGGGTTGGAATAAACATGGGCGTATTTTACTTCAGCAAAGTAATCTGTAGTTAGTATTGACCTTTGCTGTCCCAGTATATGGTTAAACCACAAAGAAAAACCAGGGCAACACCATGTAAATATGGAATGTCCCCACAAAATGAGCAATTGAAAGGTTCTGGTAAGTAATTAACTGAAGGAAGAAAACCTCAAACTTAATTTTAAAACAGACAACAGAAAAAGTTCAGCTGTCTGACTTCTTTAATCTTATGCTCTTTCTAGTACCATAGTTCAAGATACAATTTTAAAGAGCACTGGAGGAGGCAAAAATCTTTAATACAGTTTTCAGTGGGAAAACCTTTGGGGGGTGGGGTGGAAATAAATCACATCTTAAGTTTGGAGAGAGGAGCTTTAAAATTTGGCTAAAGTCCCTATAAGCCATGAATTCATTATAAAACAGCAGCTCAGCATTTAATGAACAGACTGCACAACTCATTCCTAGTCAGAACATAGCCTACTTGCTAAAAAATGAGAGTAAAATCAGGAATTTCTAATGCCACCAGTAGAAGTGAGAAATATTCATGATGCCTGTTTTATAATACATATGTTGCAGCCCTCAAGGGCAGTGTTTATTTTGATCATAACCACAGTTACGCTTGGCTGCAATGTTTATTTTTGTGCGCTTTTTTGCCTAAGCTAACAAAACAAACATCTGTTCCAATGCTGACATAAAAATCACACATTTTCACTAGTGACATATCTAGGCTTTGTGGTATAAAAGATTTCAAATTACAGTTACAAGTGACCTGGGAAGCCGGAAATTCATGTATACAAGCATGCCTTCTCATTATTCGCAAAGCTTACCTTTCCCTTCCCTCACCACACTTACTACCTGTGAGGCAGTGCTTCCAACTCCAACCTTCCCCTTTTTTAATACTTCCTTTATAAAGTGTAAGAGGAACAGGTATACTGGAAAGAACAGGAAATCCTATCAAAAAAGCACATTTCTCATTAAAGTACCTGGAGGGAAACCTGTGCACCTGAAACACCTGGGTTTTCTTCCCCTTGAATGTACTGGTAATTTAATCACATCATTTAATAAAATGTTATTTCTCCATGGGAATCTTGCTTCATTTTTTCATTATAAATATTCTATTCCCTTCTTGTTGGAGATAGACCATTAAGTATTTGAGGAAACAATTTACCTTCTCAAAATGTTTTCTTCTTTATCACATAAGACTGAGATTTGCTGCTAAGAGCAAAAGCTCACCTAATCCACATTTTGTGTCTCATAGCAGATGCCTGTAGAAGAGTTTATATGGTTATTTTTTTGAGGGTGTAAGCTTTTAACATCAATGATACCTTAAGGCAATATGTTCTACAGTTTATCTATACACCATGAGAAGCAATCACTCTTCTTTTCTTGAAGCATGCTGATTTAATTTGATTTCCTCATTCTGGGTGAGGTAGAAGTCAGTCTCCTAATGTCACTTAGGATTTTCTGGAAGACTAGCTTGTCCCACCCAAGACATCTCTGTCTAGCTTGACAGCTCCAGACTATTTAATCATTTGGAAACTATGTTATGCCTTCAGTCATTTCTGTTGCCTTTTTCTGTACCTTTTTTACTGTCACATATTGCAAGATTGCCAATGTAAACAAGCTTTTCAGGATGAGTGCTGCAGTATGAAGTGACCAATGCTTCATCTCTAGATAGTGCAGGCATTAGCACAAGCACACAGAGACATCCTTGGCATGTAGCCATGAATGCTTGCACTAGCAGGCATCGGGTGCTAACAGATATTGTTCAATCCTCTAATAAACCTGCACCTACTTCATTTTGAAATTACAAAATAAAGAGTTCTAGATGCACTGAGAGGGTGACTGTTGTATTTAAAAGCAAGAACATACCTGTCAGAAAGCCTTTACATACTCCTAAAAATAACTGTTAAGGTACACTGCAAGCTGTACAAATGAAGGATTAAATCAACGCGTATATTTTGCAACACTTTTAACAGAGGCTGGAAGCTGAACCTGTTTGAAGAAAACACATCCAGAGCTAAAAATATGAAGCATTTCTCAGAGCACAACAGCAGATTATGGTTTAGCTTTTCAGTGTTATTATAATTTTGGCACAGGAAACACTAAAGTGCTCAACCTCACATGAAGTCCAACTTTCTCTTCATTATACTAATCCTGACATTGCCATATACTGTACTAGCACAATGCACTGACATCGTTTTAGTACAATGTACTAGCACATAGCACAGTACACTAGGACATGTGATTTACACAGGCAAGCCTGCACTTTTCTCTGCAAGCTTATTCCACAGGAAGCAAATTATATCTGTAAGAGTTTGTATATGTAGCTGCATCTACAGTAGTGGCTTTTACCAGCACAGCACACTAACACAAATCCTATTTCATCACAACCAACATATGCTGAAAATAGCAGTGTTATAAGGTATCCCTCAACTTAGAGGTTTCAGCATGATTAATAACCTTAACTACAAGCTGTTATACACTGAAGCAGTTGAATACATCAAGTTGAAACATAACTGATACTCACAGTCCAGCAACTGTTGGAGTAACAGTTGCATCATGATTTCCCAGCACTGACCCCATCAGCTGTTGTGGTTAATGTAATACCTGTGGGCCAAGTACTAAGATCATCACGAACATCTGCGCATGCAAGCCTTTCTATTACTGTAAGGTCTAGAGTCCATCGTGTTATGTACACTACTTAACCATGGCCAAGACAGAGCTCATCCAAAGAGAATTTACTCAAATAACAAGACAAGATGTGGGAGAACCAAGTACTATCCTGCCCATTTTCCACTGCAGGATCTTCAAATTTATTTTTTTTTCTTAGGAGCCCAAAATATGAAGGATCAGAATTTCACTTTGTACTTTTGGAGTTAGCCCACTAAAGAGGGGATTTTTAAGGTTAAAAGCAATACTTGCAGGATTAACTATAACTGATAAAGATCTTCTGTAAATATTTCTGTTAAATTAAATGGGCTCATTCTCATGGGAGAAGCCCCAGGAGACGAAAGGCTTTTCTTACCCTGATAAACAGTATTGTTCAAACATGACCAGTTGATATCTATTACTAGCTTATTGTAAAATTGAATTTAAGATTGATTCAAGGGCCTTGAAACAGACAGTTGCAAGAGTTTAAAACATCACCTCCCCTTGCAGTCCCACCCTAGACACAAAAGATACCACTGCAGGAGTGGCCAAAAGAGACATACACCTAACCTTCAGCCACACCACATCAGTTAGGAGGATTAGATAAACCAACAAACAAGAGATAGCGCTAAAATACAATAATCTGAACTGTTCTATGCATACCTAACAAAGCACACTTGGAAGAGTCTTGGCACTGGATAACAAGATTTTGCAAGGGTGCAAAGAGTGTTCATGTACAAGAGGATCATTCAAATTATCTGCAGGTAATATTGTTGGAATTCGTTTTGCATTGCTACAGATTGGTGTTGTCAGAACTTGTTCTTTCAGCCCATGTTAGCCTTGACCTTGCAGTGGTGTTTAACCTGAGCATTACCATGGGAATAGCAGAATCACAAATTCAGCACTACACTTGCACTAAACAAGACAGACCAAAGGAAAGGTGAACCCAAGAGGAAAAAAATTGAGCTTAAACAGAAAGAGCCTGGGTAAGTAGGAAATTCCCTGCATCTATCCTTAAATTAGATGTAGGGAGTGTAGGTGGGTTACATCAGACACTGCAGCCTGTTTCATAAAAGGTTCTCCTTGTAAATCTGCAGCTGCTCTCCAATCTTACAATTGCCTTTAGGAAGAAGTGATTTATTGGGCCTTCTCCAAAAAGTGAGGAGAGCTGGTTGTTTTACCATTTCTCCTCTCTTAAACATAACCTCATACAGCTGACACTTTTGGATGCCAATAGGCTACTCTTGGTGCACCCTCCTAGTCCAGTATATGCCAGTGTCCAGAAGACAGTGATTTCAATTTCTGAGAACCATTTTCACATGATGCATCACCAAGGGAGGAACCACAGCGCTGGATGGGATTTGAAAGCTTGACAAGTCTCTCATGTGAGATCCTTGAGGACTTTGTCTAGAGCCATCAAACTGTGCCTATCCTGCTATCCATTAATGTCTTCAATCTAAATCAGTGCAGATTTGTGACACATGTTTTTATTTTCCAGATCTTCCTGAAGACATCGTCTGCCCATTCACACAAGATGCTGTTTCTCTCCAGGCTTCCCGCCCTGCCAGAGAACACCATCTTCCTCCAAAATGCCTTCCTTTCAATTCTAACAGAGCAATTTTAAGCAGTGTTCGAGACTTAAGTTTTCTGAAGAAGCAACTGCAGATGTCTTTATCTGTTCAAGAAGAGTAAGTTCTTGATTCTGTTTTTTTGGGGGGTTGGGTTCTTTTTGTTTGGTTGGGGTTTTTTTCATGGTTTTCTTAACAGTAGATTAATTCACTCTATTATTTTAAGTACCTCATTTATGGGTAAGAGTATGTACAAGGTTAATGTATCACAATACTGAAGACTGCACAAGAAATAGCAATACTAGGACTATATTGCTGCAATTGATAATAAGCTTTTATTATTATTCGAAGCAGAGCTCACATACTTCATAAGCTTGTTTCAGTAAAGGCAAACCTCACGCTACACACCCTCAGCCATCCAAAAGGCTAGTGTCCAGCCTAAATTGGGCATGCACTTCCAAACCTTCCTCAGAAGGAGATATTTGCAAGGAGTGATTCACCCACTACTTTATGAAACAGCAGAAGAGAACATCTTGATCTACATATCTCCACTGACTACAGGAGAAAATACAAACCAAAAGGCACTGACAGCCAGGGTATCCACATTCAGGGCAGGTAAAACATTACCTGTCCATGAAGTGAAATGCATCCTGCCCATGCTGATGAAATAAAGGGCTCTGATAATATGGAGAAGCTAGCTCTCACAGCTTCAGTATGAGGAAGATTACGTTAATGTTTTAGCACTAAGTCAATAGAACTGTGAAGTAAGTCCCTGAACTGGTAAAATATTTAAAACAGAAATTAGGGGAGCAATTTTATTACACATAGCTGGAAAAGAAATAAGCTTCATAAAGCTTTCCTATATAGTTAAGTACTAAAAAATTGGGTACAGTTTGTTTTTAGCAGAACTTCTAACAAAGTAGACCTTGAATCTACTGCCCCCAAGGAGAACAGCAGTTTCCAGCCTCATTGTCTGGAAAAGAAAGTAATTTTTTTCTCCCAGACTACCAAAAAATAAGAGGCATAAAACTTTTTTCCAAGTTAACTAAAAAAAAAAAAAAAAAAAAAAAAGCTTAGTTCCAATTCTGTTTTCTTGCCTAAAGCAGGTCATGAGTCAGTATCTGCTTCCCACCCTTCCTGTGCTATGTTCTGCATACACTACTTGCATACAATTGATATATTTGTGTGCAAATTAGCTTAAAATCATCACCTCTGAAATAATGATAACACTAAGCCATAAACCTGTACGAGTTTTCACCTGTTCTGGAAGCACACTTTAGTTAACTTTCTCTCGAATCATATTTTCACTACTGAGATAGAGCAGACAGTCCCTGTTAAATTAAGAACCTCATGGGATAGCTTGGTTAGAAGGGACCTTAAAGCTCATTCAGTTCCAACCCCCTGCCATGGGCAGGGACACCTTCCACTAGACTAGTTTGCTCCAAGCCCCATCCAACCTGTCCTTGAACACTGCCAGGGATGGGGCAGCCACAGCTTCTATGGGCAACCTCTGCCAGTGCCTCACCACCCTCACAGGGAAGAATTTCTTCCAAGTATCTCACCTAAGTCTCCCCTCTTCCACTTTAAAGCCATTCCCCCTTGTCCTATCACCATACGCACTTGTAAAAAGTCTCCATGTTTCTTACAGGATCTCTGCAAGGACTGGAAGACCGCTATAACACGTCTTTTCTTTGACGCGCCGGGGTGCCCCGGTGTCCCAGGAGCCCACTTGACCTCCTCCCGTAGCGAGCATTTCAGCCTCGCCTCCTACCCCAGCCTTGATGTATCTTCCCCCAGGAGCTCTCACCCTCCCTTCCCCTTCTGCTGCTAACACTGCCTCTAACACCCGCCGTGGGACACCCGGACACTCACTCTCGGAGTCGCTGAGGCCGCTGCCGTCGCTGACGCTGGCGCTGCTCCGCCGCTTCATGCGCTCCAGGTGCTCGCCGTAGTGGAAGCGGCGCCGGCCGGCGGGGCAGGAGAACTCGGCCAGCACGGTGTCAAACTCCCCCAGCGCCTCGGCCAGGCCCCCGCCGCCGTCCGCACCCAGCGCTGCCGGGCGGAGGCAACAAAGTCAGGACCCGCCAGGACCGGGACCCGAACTCCGCGTCCGGAGGTGATACCCACCGCCCGCCCGCCCGCCCGCCCGCCCTCCATCCATCCATCCATCCCTCCCTCAGACCCGCCGCCCCGGCGGCGGAAAGTGGAAAGGGCTCCGCCACGCCTCACCAGCCGCTCCCACCTTGACCCGCCGGCCGCTGCCCCTGAGGTGACTTCATGGCGGCGGTGCCCCAGCGCCGCTACCGCCCCTGCTCCCGCCGCCAGCACGGGCAGCTCATTGCTGCTGCCGCCGCCGCCTCTTATAGCCCGCCCGGGAGCGGGGCTGAGGCGGAGCGGGCGGGAGGCGGCAACGCGGCCCGGCCCTGCCCGGCGCTGGGGGCTGGACGGTGGGTGCAGGTGCGCCATGCCGGGGCAGAGGCACGGCCCGCGGGTAATGCGGTTTGCATTCAGGTTGAGTCCTTCTCATAGTTCACCACTACCACAAGTGGGAGGCACCGCTCCTTGCGCTCTGACCGCCGCTCCCGACAGCGTGAACCTGCCTTCGGTTTGCTAATCCCAGCTCTTTGTGGTTCAGGAGGGTTCTGAGCAGGGTTTGTGCCAGCTGTTGGTGGAGGGTACAACGAGCGGCAGAGCCGGCTGCGAGGAGGGAACCTCACAAGAGCACGGGACTGGATCATCCTCACCCACCCCCGTGGCCGGCCCTAGAGAGCCGGACGAAGAAGCCCGCCTTACACTTGCAGCGAGGCTGTGGGTTCCCATGCGGCAGCACTGCCGCTCAGCCCCCCCCCGCCCCGGAGCCCGTTCCCCATCGCCACCCCACATCTGTGTACGGTTATAGCAGCGCCCGGTCCGTTAGCGGGCTGTGGACGTGGCCAGCTGCGCCGGTTCGTTACACAGGGTGACCCGAGGGGAGAAGCAAGAAGCAGGGTGACACGGGAGCTGCTCAAGCACAGGAAGCCGTGGCCCCATCTGCGTCAGACAGGGCGTTCTCCAGTGGGGAGCTTGTATTAGCGCTTGTCCTGAAGTCAGGTTAACCTGATGTTTATACATGCCTTAGCTACCGAACATGGCTCTTGTGCTGTCTCCTGCGTGTTTTAAATAAAAGCCATCTGAGCAGCTAAAATACCAGTTCTGTTAAACACAACTGGGGAAGGCTCTGTCCTACTTATTTACAGGCAGCAATACTGAAAGCAGGCATCAGGTGCTATTCTATGCATATGCATCAGGAGCTATGATTATGTCCGTGTGCAAATCAATATATATTTTCCTGAAGTAGCAAAGATTTAAGAAGACCTTCCCTGTGAGGGTGCTGAGGCACTGGCACAGGTTGCCCAGAGAAGCTGTGGCTGCCCCAGCCCTGGCAGTTTTCAAGGCCAGGTTGGGCAGGGCTTGGAGCAACCTGGTCTAGTGGAAGGTGTCCCTGCCCATTGGCAGGGAGTTGGAATTGGATGAGCTTTAAGGTCCCTTCCAACCCAAACCATTCTGTGATTCTGTGCGTTGATGAGAATATCTTGAATTAAAATGTAAGTATCAAGGGCAGGGAGAGGTAAGAAAAAACCTCTCCAAAACATCTTGACATTTTCAGACATGTTGTCATTGCTTCTGCAAGATACAAATTGAGAAAACAATATCCTAGACAATAAAGCATCTGTATCTCACAGATCTGTTCACCTCTCCTTACCGGCTGGTAGGGAGACATTTGTTTATTTTTGCAGTGGATCAAAAGAAGCTCTCATGGTGAGGTACAATCATTATTTATTCTGCAGCTTCCTCCTTTCTTGTGGTCTTCCTCTGTTTTTCTTTCTGCTAATAGAAGTGGCTACAAACAATCCTTTTTGAAGACCACAGTGACATAGATGGAAAGTGAGGTTAAAAAGTAGGGAGTAGGGAGGCAGGAGGGCATGACGTCAGGAACGCAAGCAGGGTGAAAGACAGTAGACACAAGGCAGAAAGGAGGACTGTAGAGTACGTGACTCGGTAGAACTCACAGCCCAAAAAGACAAGGACCTGCCCCCACAGCTGACACCAGCTCTCTTTTGCCCAAGCACCTACACATATGATCTGCCCTACTGTGCACAAGCATCCTCACCAAGCACTGGTTATTTGGTCTTGTGCTTGGCTATATAGCAAGATGTGGCTATGGGGCAAAAAGTTGAATGGGCTCAGCTCAGTTAGGTGAGCTCCAGAGTTGGTAAAAGGAGAGAGCAGATGGGGACGTGGGTAGGGGAAGAGGAGAACTGCTTCCTTCTAGTAATACAAGAGTTTATCCCTGGCCTTCTCTTTAAATTATTAGTTTGTTCTCAAATTTATCATTTGCAGAGTCATTTCTAGGCATGCTGATTCCATAAATTTCTCTTCTTCACAGCCACTTGTTTGGGAGTCTTCTTTCCTTAAGAAAACCCAGGCATAGAATCCTTGGTGATGTTTACTGCTCCATAGACCAGCCTGTTAACATTTCTACCAGTAAATACTCATGTTTTCTCCTGAGCAGCCTGTGATTCCACTAAATGCAGCCAACATTCAGCTGGTGAATTTTAACCTTCCACATAAGCCATTAGCTTATACATGAGGAAATGAAGATTGACTTTTGTGCCTATCGGTTCTATGTTACAGACCATATAGCTATGTACCTCCATAAATATTCTTGAAGGGCCCAAAAATGCTCCTGCTAAACTGGATGTGTTTTTGCCACTGATGCCAACAGGAGCAGCCCACATCTGGCAAAATAAAGAAGTCACTTTCTAGCACAGTCCCCCTTGCAGACTGGCACGCAAGGCTGCTCATGTTTACTGGTAGAAACATCCACCCCAACCTGTAATGTAAACCTCAGCTGCTGAATCCCTCCCATCTCCCAGGCAGCCATCCAACGTGTATTTAAAGTGAGTTTCTTCTTGACCATTCGACTCCGTGTCTCCAGATCCTCCTCAGCCAGTGATGCAATGTTTACAGTGGTTTCCTACTGCATTTTTAACCTCACTGACTTGTGAGCCACATAGCTATTTAAATCAACAAATCCTGCCTGTAGATGTGCTTCAGGGAAAGACTTTCAGAACCTTAGCAGGTACTCTGATACAGCCAAGTCACACAGCTCACAGGGTACTAAGTTTTATAAGTGAAACACAGTAATTTGGGACACAAAACTCTTGCTACACCAAAGAGAAGCCTAGGACTGGTTCACATATGTATTGGTGCTGCAGGTTGACTAATCCAGTGGTTTTCAAACCGTAACCCAGACAGATCCATGAACAACTTCTGAGGCATTCACGTAAGACAGGAAAGATCAAGACAGATTTACTGGAAGTAGGTTAAAATCCACAGGACCTATGTGGCCCCATATGCACATATGCAGAAACTGGAGCTGCCGAGAGGGGGATTTGCAAGTCAGAAATGGCTGAAAAGTTGTGGTCTAATCAATCATTCTTTTCAACACTTTGAATATCAAGAGTACCCCAAAATATCAATCCTGTTGTGTAAGCACCAGGTTCCCACAGTAAAAAGCAGATGTCTTCTGAAATCCAAGCCCATCTTCTCACTGCTATTGGAGCTAGATAAAAGCCAGACTGATCGATCCCTGCCCATGGACGCAGCCTGGAGTTCCAAATATAACGTTTCCGTGTATTTTCCAATATTTTTCAGCCTGTGAAAATAATAATTCTGTACAAAAGTTAACAGTACCAGGTGGTTAAAGTAGATATTTCACATAAAACCTGGGAATTCTTCACTATGAGGGTGCTGAGGCACTGGCACAGGTTGCCCAGAGAAGCTGTGGCTGCCCCATCCTTGGCAGGGTTCAGGCCAGGCTGGATGGGGTTTGAGCAACCTGGTCTGTTGTGAGGTGTCCCTGCCCATGGCAGGGGGTTGAAATTGGATGAGCTTTAAGATCCTTTCCAGCCCAAACAGAAGCCCATCACTGCTGAACTTGTAGCTGAAGGAGACCAAGGGAACCCCAGATTCAGACAGCTGTGAAGGAAGAAGATGAAAACTGGCAGTGGATGAAAAAGCACAGGTGCCAGTGAGACTGACACACAGGGAAACTCAACTCCTTGGGCCACAGAGCAGGAATAGACCAAACATCATCGGTATAACTTGTCTCCTTCTTCAGTGCATCACATCCCTGCCCTCAGGATGCTCTTTTGAAGCGTGAGATGGTGGTTAATACTCTAGTCTATTTTATCCTTCACACTGCAAGTCAAATTGCCTACGTGAGTGAATTGCTAAACTTGTTCTGTAATGAGGACAGCTGCCTAATTAAAACTTGGCTGAGACAAGCCATGAATTTTACATAGGCTACCTAGCTACCATCAGAAGCATAAGAACCTGCATTTGCTTCCAGCCAGTCTAAATACAGGCTGGTATTGACCTGTAGCTCAATCTATGACACCAGTGAGAAGAGTGACTTACAGCAGAACAATTAATAGTGAAAATCTGCCACAAAGAACTCTTTTTCCAGAGATATTTCACATCATTTTCCTTTCTCTTCTCCCAAGCTTTTCTGTAGAACTTAAACCTGAACTTGGATTTAATACCAACTGATGTAGTTTCTTTTGATTTTCTCTCTCCCTCTAATTGATGCACACTGGGTAGAAACTCATGGACTAGCTCACTGCCACCCATGACCATGGCCCTGGAGCAAAGCATACATCATCCTGCTGAATTCTGTCGAAACCTAAGCTCACTTTCTCCAACTCATCCCACTTCTAACTTTTCAGCTTGTCAAATTAAGCTCCTGAAGGCAAACACAATACAGCCTGTGCAGTTTTTCATTCCTCCGTCTTTCTGTAACAAGAGGCAGAACCTCTTGGAGTTTTGAATGAATACATTTACATAGAGTATTGACTCTGAAATACATTTATGGCAGTTTAGATGTAATCACTATTGCCGCAGCTGGATTAAAGGTTGTTGAACTGAATAGGTGTAATTGTAACCTATATTGCCATCTATGGAATGAACAGTTTAGTTTGAGTGAGATTGCTTCAGATGTAGGATAAACCAACCAAAACACTGCTTGAAAGCTGTACTAGTGTTTCTGGATCTTAACGTGTTAAGGAGATGGATGTTGTCTAGTAGTTTTTCCCTTGCAGCGCAAAGGAGAAACCAAAGAACAAGCAGAGAGAAGTGGTCAAAAAGCCAACAAGACAGCAAGACAAAATGTAAGCAAAGGGTCCATGGCAGCAAGTCAGGAAGGGCAGAGAGCCTGGCAGCTGGAGTGCTGTGTGGCAACTGAAAGTGAGGAAATTCACTCCTTTTGACTCTGCTTTCAGGAAAACAAGGCTGTGCACATATCCTCTGCATGGGCGGATGACATGAGACTGCACAAGACTGACTGAAGGA